AAAAGAGAAACTGATGGGTTGCTTCGCTCGAAAGACACTGGGAGACGAGTACTCTCGCGGAACGAGAGATCGATCTCTCGTGTGTACTCGTTGACAGACTTCTCCTGTGGATTCCATAAAATTAAACGAAGTTCTTTCGAGAACCGTTCGTGGAAACGAAGTTATTCAATGGATATCGAAAGTATGAGGATACTTGTCTGTCACTAATCTGACGTTTCACCGAATGATATTCTACCACGTTCCTGAATCGTGCTGCGATATCGTTCATCTTCCGCTTTCAGAGAACGTAAGCCGTACAGCAAGATCTCGCGTAACGGGCCGAGTCGGCACATCAGCCAGAAAGAAAACTATTTCTCTAACTAAGCCGGCTAACGTGGCGCGAACTATGCCATGACCCCGATAAAAAGGAAACGATAATCCAACGCCGGGCGCTCCGCTCAACGAGCACTCTATGCAAATGTCGGCACCGGGCCAGAGGGCGGCTACGGCCGCGGGGAAGAAGCGAAAGAAGGAAAGCCACGAGGGAGAAACCAGGTGGGGGAAGATTTTCAATTACGGTCAAAAACCAGCGAGAGCGGAGATCCTGCGCGAATAGAAAACAGGTTGAAATAGGACCAAGCCAAGGCTGGAAGCAATTTTTGAAACGATCGTCGTACGAACTGGGTCACGTACGCCGGAAGTAAGCGTCGCGAGAATTAAAATCCTTCTACTACTATTCGCCGTCGAACCACCACCATCGCGCTGAACCGCGTCGAAGAATTCCAGCTGAAAGACTCGCTTTTTCTCTTCTCTGGTCTTATCCCTTCTTCACTTCCTATCCTCTGTCTGCCTGTTTCCTTCTTTCCCCGACTCACGAGACGAAGAAAGCCGGAGGACCACGAGAGACGCGAAGATCACGGCAATCTCTTATTTTCCGCGCGACCGATCCATTCGGCACGAATTGGAAAACGCGAGCGGCAAGAGAACGAAGTTCCACGGCCGCCTGGTGTGCAGCCAGAAGAAGCGGTAACGGCTAGAGCTTGGCCGGGGTGAAGAAACAGGGTAGTGATTCCCGGATTCTGTTCGGTCGTTTTCCATCGCGAAATAAAACTTTTATGACTTCAATTTGAAAAATGAGATCTACATTTAGATTTATTTTAGTAATCAAAATTAATTACGTATACATGTGCATACGTATAATAACGTACAATAGGTATAAACAATAATCAATCAGGTTGTATACGCAGGTCGATCCGACCAGTCAAATATGAAAGGTACATCGAATGAAGCATGATCGCAGTTTTCTCTAATCACAATTTAGTACGCTAGCCTAGTGCGTGTCAGTGATCAGTTAAATTCGCTTCTCAGACAGGTCGTTATTGTCTGAACGGTCAATCGCGAAGAACTCAATGAACTCGACGAAAACACCGTTCAAGGTATAAAGAGAAGAAGAGACGACTAGCGAACTGTGCTCGCACACCGCTCGCACATGATTGGAAATTAGATTAGTCACGTTGAAATGCGCTTCGAACAGCCACTATCGTCGCGTCTGGTCATTGTTACGAGGGTTAAGTCATGACCCACGATACGACGGAAAGAAATCATGGTTCATAATTTTCTCCTCCCTCAATGAAACTTAAAAGGTTATCGAAAAAGGTTGGCAAACTTATAAAAGATCTTGTCAGTGGAAATACCATATTGGACATGTTTATGACAGATCATTCCAAGTTATTCAGGAGCTAATTTCAAATCTTTTTAATATTTCACAAAACGAAAATGGGTTAATTCTTTCATACAGTTAGTTTAATACTAAAAGAAACTTTGCTGTAGCAAATTTAAGTTAAAGCAATTGTGAAAAAATCGAAATAAAATTGATTTCCTCCTTGGCGGTAAGTCTCTATAAATCACGGAAGATTACACGGATTACATGTGCCGACATCCGTGGCGAACGGTTTAATGCAATTTTCTAATCTCGTAAAAAGATGTTTGACGTGAAAAGCCGGGAAGTAAAACTTTAGAAACTCAATTCGCAGCAGGTCCGCGAACCAGTAGTGAGAGAACGGTTGAACGAGTACGGGATAACAGATCAGGAAAAGAGTGAAAAACGTGCCCCTTCCACCCCAAAAGAAGGGAGAACTCGCGGAGGAGAAACAACCGGGGCGAAGCAACGTAATGCGCAGTAAATTGGAGCCACCGTGTGTTGCCGATGTACCACAAATCTTAGACGCTAAGGTTCGCGGCAAGTTACGGTTCCTCGGATTAGCTAGAAAAGCCGGAGGGAGAGACGCGGGTGGAAACGCGCGAGGAGGATCGTGGATTTAGTCGGTACGGGGTTGTTTGGCCAGTCGTTGCCGAACAACGTTGAGCCGGCGCACTTCCGTTTTCAGCTACATGGAACGTTTCTCAACAACGACGCCGACGAACGACCCAGTTATACACCTTATCACCGTGACGCGACGAGACGCTCCGACTCGGAGACAAAGAAAGTTCATGCGAGGTTTGGCTGGAATTTAATGGTAGTTTATCCGACGCCCGTGTTTCTAATTTTGCTCCCACTGATAAGTTCAGTAACTTTGCGAAACTTTATAACATCAATTTGAAACTAATTAAAAGTACGAATTTACATATCAGCATACGCATATGTAATCGAATTCCTTTTTATATTTTAGTTCCCTTCAAAGACCTTAGTAACATATTTTTCTTCTAACGCTTCAGCGGGACATTTGGACAAGAGCCTATTTTGATAAAATGAAACGAGCACTGCAATGAGAAAATACCAAGGAAGGAAACTGTTTTTCCAGAAATGCGATGACGGGCTATTTTTCAGAATTACGGTCAATCGAGCCGCATAATATCGCTGCGAATAAATAAAAGATAAAGTCATTCCTTGTTGGAAACGGTCACGTCACGGTCATTCCCGACTCTTTATCTACTTGCCGCCATTTTTCTCCGACCGTACCTTTCCCCGGCGCAGCTGCGAAGTCCAGAACTGCGGCCAAAGCCGCCTGAGCCGTCGATCACACAATGCCAGAAATTTCGATTTATCTATCTCCCACGGATTCCCTTCGTCTTCGTTTGTCGACGTACGCGTACGGGTTTCTCTCGAACTGTTCGAAGGGTAACGAGCCCGTGATACGATGGAGCGAAGGGCGGAACGGTGGAAACGCGGGGACGGTTCCGCGCGGATTACGAGCACCGAAGTGTGTGATAATCGCCAAGGAATAGAGAGAAACTCTTCTCTCGCCCCTTTTACTCTCCTTTCTCGACCCCTCGCAACTTGAAATCGCTCTCGACACAGCCGCTCGTTAATGCTTGGTTTCGCTCCGGCGTGTGTGTGCAACACGCGTTCCGAAAACTTCGGCATCGTTGCATAACCAACCGGCTACCCACTGTTTTTGAGACGCGGTTCTTTCCCCGGGTAGTTCATTTAAAAGATTCATAAAACCGGAAGATACTTCATATTATGGTTTCAGAAGAAATTGAATAAATATAAATAAATTGGTAAACGAGTTTATCAAAGAAAAATACGATGAATTGAAATTAATGAAGTATGAAGTCTTTCATCTCGATACTCACGAGATTTAAATAGTAGGATCAAAAAATGCACGCGAAAATATGTATAGATAGAAAAACTGTTTTATATCTGATAATTGAAACTGGTTGCGACACATGACTGATTGATAAGTTGATCTCGTGTATGCAACCGCAGACTGATTTCTGAATAATTTGTAGGAAACGTTAAGTGCTGCTTTCATTAGAACCGTATTACGATAAACAAGTTCACCGTAAAAAGCCACCCCACGTTTTCCATAAATTAAAACACGTTCCTTCCTACGTTACTACCCTCGTTAATCCAGAGAGACTGAATTATAGATCGCACACAGATGCACACTCACCGAGAAGCCGTATAAGTATACATCTGCTGCGATATTTTTCCAAATATTTAACCACAGTTACCCCCACGTCGCGTGTTTGTCCTCTAATTACATCGCGGCCCCAGCAAACACGCCGCAGTCTATTCTTCCCGCAACAATATCACTTCACACGCGGCTTCTCCTAAATCGATTAACGCGAGGAACGAGTTAATTCACTATGTGACGTTCCGCACACACACATACACACGGACGGAGGACCTCCTGAACTGCTAGAGTCCTTCTTCTGGGCCGTTTCCTAAGGGTCCTTCGAACAGTCGAAGGGACGATCTTCGCCGCGATAATAGAATCTAGCAGGACGCGCAGTTTACACAACGACCAACTGAGGCTACTTCCATCCTCGTTATTAAACACACCGTGTTTGCTTTCTGATAAATGTTTCAACGGTCAACCGGCAAGCGTGGCCGGCTGCGGTTTCACCCCGACCGGATATGCAGTGCACCAGAGTCCCGCCCTTCTCGCTACCGGTCAGACATCGTGTCGCGTCGCTCGAAAATCCACCCACGCGCGTTGTTGCGCAATGCTACTACGCGTGCCACACATATTTACACTCGACGACTGTTCTTATATCCGGTAACATTTCGAACATATTTAAATCGGTAAGTCATTGAGTAATACGAATAACTTGTATAATAAATGGGCAAATGAAAAAGAAAAAGAAAAAAGAACGAAGTACACGGAATTGTAGAAAACTGGCATGGGACATGAATGCGAATTCTTTGTTGATAAAAGTTTCAGGTGTTTGTGTTTCATAACACATGGTATCCGGACCCGTTAAATATTTCCTTCTTACCAATTATCCGCATGCAGCAAAGCGAAAGCGTCGACCACGTCTCTTTCGAGCTCTCGCGTACAAACTTTCGTCCACTCGAAACCTCGCGTTCGGCTCGAGGGCAGTAATTTTTCACGGGCACCTCGAGCACCGACACGATCTCGGTGCAACGCGTAAATATTCGCGCAGCTACCTGCTCCACTTGGGGGACGCTTAATTGGCACAAGGACAGAAGCCGGCATACCCGCGTGGACAGGTCGCCGGTTTCGAATCGACGCTCCTGTTGGAATCGTAAAACACTGCAACTTGCCACTCACCTATATTTCGCGCCGCGACGGTACAACCGCTGGTTAGGAGCCACGCAAACACCAGGCCACTGAGTAGACCTTTCCGTCGACCCTTGCGGCACTCCATCGTGAAGTTCCGAGCTCCGACTACGCCTGAAAACAGAACAACCGCCATCGTTAGTGAGAGTGAAAGTAATTGCTACCGAGAGCAGTACAACCAACTTGGCACCGACCGAGCACACCGATTTTTCGTTTGAACGTTTGCCGGGAACGAACATCCCCCTGAACTAGTCGGAGCCGATTCGTGAGGGTTGCAACGCTTTATGAGCTTATTACTGTGATCAACCATTCAAAAAGTTGTTTAGCTTCTAATTAAATATTATGAGAAGTACCATTTTTCCAAAATATGTGGTGAACATGACAAAGTCGATGGTAGTAAAAAATATAACGTTTTCTCTCCGATCCATTCGAGACCATCACGTCTCTTCGCTCCTCACGTAATACCGCGTGTTTACGCGCATTCGACACACATGGTGCACGCTTTTTTTTTTACATCGTGATTTAAACATGTCAGTGAAATCCTTCTGTCGCGCGGTATTACCGAAGGAAAACATGTTATCCTATGCGATTCCGCGGTTAATCCAGCTGCAGCACCTGCTCTCCTGTCGCCACTGAAATTTCCAGCGATGACGACGACGCGACGCATCGTCGCACCGTCTGGAATTCTTTTTTCAAAGAATGACGCTCGTCGCCATCCGCTATCGCGTTTTGTTTCAAATACCCCCGAAATTCTTTTCACTTGCCGCTCCACCAAACTCGCATTGTTGACGGCAAAGCGCTATAAAGTGACCTAATTCGAACAAAACGAGCGAAACGAACGTGCGCAAAGGGGGAAAGAGTGCGCTGCTCGCAAGTGTTCACGGGCCGACCTCGCGGTGGTTAGGCGAAAGCGAGCCGAACGCACGTTGCGCACGCAGTGAATGTGGGTTAACGAAGGCAAAAAAGGAAAACAGTTTTCGCATCAGCGTTTCGGCATTTAGCCGGCGCCGTACAATAGGACGCCGCGCGCCGTCGAATGAAAAACATTCGAGCCGACGCGAGTCGAATCGAAGAGGAATAGAGAGGAGGAATATAGAAAACGGAATGAAACGAAACGAACGGGCACGGCGTTGCGCGGGACTAAAGAGAAAAAGGGTTCCGAAAACAGAGGGACGGAAATAGAGCACGGCAACGCCAATTCCGTGTTTTCATCCCGCTCGCGCTTTTCTCGAACCCTCGTGCAGCCGGAATTAATTCGGAGAATCTACCGACCTATAATGAATCACAAAAAAAATCGAGCTAATTGACATATTAAAAACAATTTTTATCTGCACCTGTGGTACAAATAGACAATAAAAATGTGGGCCTAACGTCTTTAAAGTACGTGACGCTCGGAGTGACTACTATTTCGACAGTCATATTTGTCATTTGACTGGGTCTATCAAAATGTAAACTTCGATAAGCACCTGACATTACACGAAACACCACGTGTATAAATCTTCGGCGCCATTCCCACGTCACGCAGGAGCAGGAGCCGCACAGTACGGTCAGATTTACATGGGACCGCGTAACGATGCAGTTCGCAAACGGAGCACGATCGCGTGGAAGCGTTCAAAGGGGCTAACGACCGGTATATCTGGAGCGGTGCCAGTGGTCGAGCGACACAACGCCGTTACGAGTGCAACCAGAACCGCGTGAATTTTTCCAACGAGCCTAATTAAGTCGCGTGGCGGTCTTCTCCGCTTTGTTTCCCTTCGCAGCGTCGGCCGCGTCCACAAACCCGACTCGTTGGACAACGGGTGTCCCCCCTTACTCCGTCTCCCTCGTTCTCTTTCCCGTTACCATTCAATGGCGGTTAATACGAGCCGGCAGGATAAACGCGCAATCGCCCAGCACCGTGATTATCGTGGAAACATCTGTAAACTCCCGTAGAAACAATGATAATTGAATGCAACGGAGGACGCGCGCTCGGTCTTCGGAGTTTTGCACGTCGAAGCGCGCGCAACGCACACGTCCGATGCATTACGCATAATTAATCCGACGATGCTTATCTTTTCTAACCTTGTACCCCGCGCGCGCGTCCGCGTTCACTGCGTGAATAGAAACCATCGACCGCGCGCGACTCTTCTTTCATCGGCGCTGCGCGGGGACTCCACTGCATTACGCGTTGTGCGCTAACGCGTCCACGAACCGTACTTTTTTTCATTATCGTCGTGCTGTTTGTTTGCGGATTTTCTCGCTGATTCATGGGTGAAAATGAACAGTGTGAGATTATAGTTGTATCGTGCGACAAATTCGGAATTGTGAGTTATTAAAAAACGCGGTGAATTTTTTAATCCGGATAACTCCAACCAATTAATAGAAATAGTAGATTCGAGGTAAAATCAATTTGAAACTTATAATAATAAATATCTCATGAGTAATAAGACCAACTGTACAAGTAACTTATGTGAATTAGAAGACAAAGTGAAACCTCTCCGCCCGATAAGAGAACGTATTCTAAAGTTTCAGCAACTGCGCACAGTCATCGATTAAGCCAATAAAAATTGCGAATTCGCGCAGCCTCGCAAACATTATTGTTCGCCCGGAGCTAATTACATTCCCACGGGCGCGCGTATTTGCACCACCGCTACGATAATTACGATAAACCCGATGACAACGCGATTCCCATCTCTCGGAAGTTTGCCGTGCGCTGAGCGCTGTGTACGTACTACCACTGCCTACCTATCCGATACACAATTGGACGCTGCCTAGGCGCGCAGCGTAATCTCGCGTGCAGCCGATTTTTGCCAACTGAACGCGACTTCCATGGAAACTACCGGCTGGGATCTCCCTAGCACAAATTTTTGAAGATCGGTAATCGAGTTCTCCGAGTCCGATTTGGCTCCGCAGAACGCATTCCCGCGACGTTGCGCACAGAAATAATTCTAAGAATCCCACCACCGCTTTATCGGCTCGAAGAATCGTTTCGTTGCGTTCCAATTCGCAGTCCGATCGCCACGAGAGAAACGAAGGAAGAAGCATGCTCTTTGTAGTGCTTTACGTCTGGTTAATGACGTGTGCGGCAGGAAGTGACGAAACTTCCACTAGTTCTGTTGTCTTTACCTTCAGAACAGCTTGTCGTACATTCAATGTTGATTTGTTGCTTAATTTGTTGAATTTTCGGTTGAGAATGTTTCAATACTAACAATAACGGCGCAAATCGAATTAGTCGGGACGAACCACACGTGACCATAACAAAATACCAATTTACTCAGTGAGGTTTCGGGAAATTGTACAAGCCAGCAAACTAGAATGCGGTTGATAATACGGGATGAGAATTCAATCGCTATAACACAGATGATGGACAAGAATAATTCGCACTCAAAATTGTTTTGCATTCGGGGTGATGACGATTGCCACAGTAACTCCGGGCCGTTTTGTCTCTACGATTTCGTGACGACCTCGCCGGGCACGCGGAAGCTTCGTTGTTCCAGGCGCGAAACCGCGCGTTAATCGAAGGGGAGAGATGCTCGCGAAATTATTTGTTGAAAATCACATTATCGGGCAGCGGCCTGACCGCGGATTTGCAGCTTTCAATTTTACACCCAGACGCATTTTAATGCGGCCGCGGAAACATCGAACGAGCGCGGTCGCCGCTCGTTCCCCCGTGCAATTAAAAATAATTGCGTGTTCGCGTGCCAAGCGAAATGCACGCGGGCTCGCGAACTCGTGGTTCCAGCCGTCTGCATGATGAGTTTTGTTTTCGCCTACGTTAGAGGAGAGAGACGCACCGTGATGCGTTCCATTAGCCAGTTGTACTCTGTGTATGGCATTTGATAGTTTGGAAGGATATCGAAATAATGAACGCGGCTCGTTGCGCAATCCGCGATGCTCTTGAAATTGTTTGATGGATTTTGAGTATATCGCGAAACAGCATGGTACAGCGGAACGGATAGACGCGATCCGTATCGCTTGGTAGGTTGCATCGAATGGCCGACGGGTTGTTCGAAATATTTGCCTAACGAGCGAAAGCCACGAGCTAGTGCTTCACTACCACAATAGAGGGAGAATTAAACGGATTTTCAGCCAGTTCCGCGTTTAACGACAGTCGCTTAAAAGCAGAGCCTGTGCGAGCGAGCGAGCCACCAATGCCGCCACCACCATCCCCCTCAGTACTCAGTTTCCCTTTTCCTTGCCCTTTTGTTTATTCGTTCGCGTCGCATAAACGGTCACAGCCATAATGGCCCGACAAACATAAGAATTACCGTCTCCGCGGCATGCACCGGGGACATAAAATTGTGTGCGGGTCGAGCTGCACGATTTACTTTCGGCTCGGAGTTGCAAATGAATCTTTGTCGCCGAGCTTTCTCTTTCTTTCGTTTGATACGGCCACCATCGTGTATTGTACGTGGCGTGCGAATGGCGAAACGACGCAGCCTGATGCGTGCACTGGTGCAAAAACTTCGCGGCTTTATTCGCACTGCGGTACAACTGTCTCGCGTATTATAAGAATAATTGTTCTCTCCGGTCGGGCCCCGATTGTTTCGCCTATCCCGATTTTCTCCTTTGCCACTTTGAAACTGTCGAGACTTCGCCCCCCTCTGCGCGACGCGGACGGAATACAGAAAAGTCAACACGTTCTCGCGAGCTAACAATCGTACCGGCTAACTAATACACGCGCTTTGCATACAATAAGTTACCAGCTACCGTTTTTGTTCCTCATGGTAATGGAGCCGAGTCCTCCAATCTCTAACTTCAATGGCATAGAAATTACAGCTCTTGTCTTCTAACTTTCGTATTTAACCGTCAACTGGGTCATGAACCACCTAAGAGGTTCCCTCGAAATTAAAATGAAATCTGACGATCCACGATATTTTGTTATACCATAGTGCGTCATGAATATGAAGACCTTGGCTGCTGAGGAATTTAATTTCAAAGCATAGAACTCGAGACACACTTCGCGTTGTTTCTGACATCAGATTCGCGGCAACGCAAATCGCGGCGGCAGCCAGAAGAAGGCCTTCCCATCGCGTAAATGGGACGCGTGTCTTTCCGCCGCCGACGACGCGACGCGGACGTCCGCCGTTCCGTCTTCCCGGCATGGCATAGCGTCTTTCTTTTGCTGCGTCGCA